TGCTCCGTGTGGTGGGTGGGTATAGGTGTTGCTCCGTGTGGTGGGTGGGTATAGGTGTTGCTCCGTGTGGTGGGTGGGTATAGGTGTTGCTCCGTGTGGTGGGTGGGTATAGGTGTTGCTCCGTGTGCTGGGTGGGTATAGGTGTTGCTCCGTGTGCTGGGTGGGTATAGGTGTTGCTCCGTGTGCTGGCTGGGTATAGGTGTTGCTCCGTGTGGTGACATCTCAATGTACAAATTGATTTGAATTTGGAAATTATTAGTTTTTGTTGCTCATGCATTTACAATTAAAATATGCAACTGTTGCTGCTATTACTGCTGCTGCTGTTGTTGTTGTTGTTGTTGCTGCTGCAGCTGCTGCTGCTGCTGCTGCTACTGATACTGCTACTACTGCTGCCGTTGCTACTGCTGCTGCTACTGCTTCTGCTGCTGCTACTACTACTGCAGCTGCTGCGGCTGCTGCTACTGCTACTGCTACTACTGCTGCCGTTACTACTGCTACTGCTACTACTGCAACTGCTGCTACTGCTACAATCGGTTCCGTTGCACGGGTCGTTGACGGAGCAATCGTCGCCCGTCCAACCCTCGAAGCAAATGCACGTCGCTTCGTTCACGCTTCCCGGTAGGAGATGGCAATCGCCGTTAACGCAGGGGTAGTTCAGACAGGCGGATGGCTCCTGCTCGCAGTGCTCTCCCGTGTAGCCCGCCTCACATACGCACAGGTATTCGCTCGGGTCGTCCTCCGCAACCTCACATACGCCGTAGTTACAGTCGATTCCGTTGCAAGGGTCGCTGACATTGCACAGCGCACCCACGTACCCTTCGAAACAGTCGCACGTGAACACGTCCGGAAAGCTGTCGTTCTGTCGGCATATTCCGAAGTCGCCGCAGAGGTTGTGCACGTCGTGGCAAGCTTCCTTCACGTCGCACGCCTCCCCCGCGTAGCCCTCGTCGCAGATGCACGTCACGTTGAGAAATTCGTCGTCGAGGACGCAGTTTCCGTGCGCGCACGGGGAGTTGGTGGGTAGACACGGGTTCTCGACGCTGCAATTCACTCCAACGTAGTCGGCGGCGCAGTGACACATGTAGGCGCCGCCCCGCGTCATACACTCACCGTACTCGCACGGGTCGGGATCGCACGGGTTGTTGACGGAGCAATCGTCGCCCGTCCAACCCTCGAAGCAAATGCACGTCGCTTCGGTCTCGCTTCCCGGTACGAGATGGCAATCGCCGTTAACGCAGGGGTAGGTCAGACAGGCGGACTGCTCGCAATTGTCGCCCGTGTACCCGGCCGGACAGTCACACTGGTACGTGCCGTCGTTGGCAGGGTGCGGCGTGCAATTGCCCCCGTTTTTGCACGGGTTAGGCAGGCACGGGTCTTTAATTTCGCAGTCATCGCCGTTCCATCCGGCGTCGCAAGTGCACATGTGACACGTAGGTATGGTGTCTATGCACGTGCCGCCGTTCTGGCAATAACCAACGGCGTCGTCACAGGCGCCGTCTGTGAATGGAGGAGCGCCTAGAAGAAATCAAGGAAGCAGCAGCTTATTACACACGCACGCGCACGCACGCACGCACGCACGCACGCACGCACGCACGCATATATATATATATATATATATATATATATATATAATTAAATAATAATATATAATTTCGTATATAATTTCATATGCATAAACAAGGAAGTACATGTGGATAAACCATTTTCTACGGCCAGCAAACCCGGAAGTTGAAAACAGTTAAGAAATTTAGTTAGAAATCCGAAATACATTGAAAAACAATTTACACATATACAAGAGACAAAGAATAATGCAAAGCCTAGAACTAAGGTAAGTGAACGATTAGAGAAGATATAATCGTAAAATCACGTATGTTTAAAATGCGAGCATTACTCATTATATATATATGTATATATATACTCACACTGGCTAGTCACGAGCTGAGGTATGAATCCAATAGCCAGGCAGAACCGCAATATCCCGAACACGCTATTCCCTGACATCGTTGGTCTCGCTCTTCTCAAGTACCGCTCCGTACTCAACTTCCGATAAAATTTAAGTGAGAACTGATCTGTCGTTACTGCTCTATTACGAACGACGAATTTACAGTGACTCAAATCTCATACGCATTACTTATCAAACGGCGCGTACGTGCGTGTCCGTGGTTGCTCTGTATCGAATTTAAGCGGAAATTCTGTTTGTCGATGACTTACGTGTTTGCTGGATATCAAAGGTCTATTTTGACAATACAAGACATGGTCCAATCTCTACACGACTAAAGGGGCCAGCCCACGTATGATTAATAGAGGGCAAGCGAACTGTTATCCTAAAGGCATCCACTTAGGGGCTAATCTGGGTGGCGAATTTTTTTCCTACACGTTATATCCATTGCAGAGTTTTGCGCTCCTCTGATTGGCTGCTTTTATTTGCTTTGACTCAGCAAACCTTCAAAACAAAAGAACAAACGCCATTTGTAAGTATTTGTTTTGGTTTATGAGTAATGTAAATTCGCATCCGAGTGTGCCTACAGCAAACAAATGGGTGATATGGATGGTGTTACGTGCTATGTATGATGCCGGGTGCATGTGTGTGTGTGTGTGTGTGTGTGCTTTCGCTGTGCGTGCGTGCGTGCGTGCGTGCGTGCGTGCGTGCGTGCGTGCGTGCGTGGCCGTGCGTTGCGTGTGTGCGTGCGTGCGTGCGTTGCGCTCGCGTGCGTGCGTGCGTAGCGTGTGTGTGTGGTTATTTGCGTTACTTATCTATTAGGCGCGTATTCTATTTATGTACATAAGATTGTTTGCAACGTAAGCGTTGATAATCTTATGAGTCAACTTATCAAATTCAAATCAAGAGCAATGCAATGAAATCACAACTAAACCATGAGCGCGTGCTGCCTATGTACATATTTTGTATGTAGGCAATGTGCATAGTATAAATCATATTATTATATTATTATTATTATAGCGTGTGCGTGTGTCAGTTTCTATATAGACTTTATGCTATCTGGTTTTATTGTAATATTAATAACATTATTACAAACCGCTCTCCCTCATCAGCACACACATCCACACCCTCCCCCCCCCACATACGCGCGCGCGCGCGCACACACACACACCCACAACAGCACACGCACACGCACGACGCCGCACACGCACACGCCACGCACGCACCACGCACACGCACACGCACACGGCACACGCACACGCACACGCACACGCCACACACACACACACACACAAAACCTACCCTATTTTAATCGCGCTTAAAATGTATTTTAAGCGTGATTGAATTCCAGCCAGTGGTTTTTAATCGCGCTAAAATCTGATTGGCTGGAATTCAATCGCGCTAAAATACATTTTAAGCGGGATTAAAATAGGTAGGTTTTGGCGGTAATGGCCTTTCCATATACACTACTACTGCTGCTACTGCTACTACTGCTACTGCTGCTGCTACTGCTACTACTGGCTACTGCTGCCTACTGCTACTGCTGCTACTGCTGCTACTGCTGCTACTGCTGTTCACTGCTGCTACTGCCCTGCTACTGCTACTACTACACTGCTAGTACTGCTACTGCTGCTACTACTGCTGCTTGCTACTACTACTACTACTACTGCGTCTACTGCTAGCTCTGCTCACTGCTCTGCTGCTGCACTGCACTACTGCTACTGCACTACTGCTACTACGCTGCTGCTACTGCTGCTCTGCTACTGCTACTACTGGCTACTTACTGCTGCTGCTACTGCTGCTACTGCTACTACTACTGCTACTGCTCTACTACTGCTACTCACTGCTACCTGCTACTGCTACTGCTACTGCTACTATGCCGCTGCTACCTACTGCTACTGCTGCTACTGCACTATGCTACTGACTGCGCTACTGCTACTGCTAACTGCGACTACTGCTACTGCTGCTAGCTACTGCTACTGCTGCTGCTGCTACTGTTTCCGGCCCGTGGGAAATAAAGGGTCAGATGACAACATGCGCCATATGCTGCGACTATCCTCAGGCAACACTATCCGCTGCCCACCCCGCCCTGCCGAGCCCCGCGCGTGTAGCGCGCGAGGAACAGCTGGCGTAATAAAGCTGATAGAACCCAGGAAGACGCGTGTCGCTTTCCACCTCCCCCTGCCGACCCCCTCTCACGCAGGCACTGCGGCGTGTGTCACCTGTCCTGATTAATGACAGTGTGGTGGCGTCACTGGCGTGAGGTCTGGCGCATGGAGAGTGAAGGAAAGGTAGCGGTCCCGTGTGGCGGAGAGGAGGGGAAGAGGGGGAGGAGGGGAGAGAGGGAGAGGGTCAGTCCAGCAGGCGTCGTGGCTGAGGGAGGACGCGTCGCTACGAGCGGACGTTCACAATGTTTTCGATCGCGAGCGCGCGGTAACGGGAGCGCCACCAGGGGCGCCCGCGATGCAGTCGTGGGAGCCTACACGGGTGTGAGTGGAGGATAGGGAGGAAATATGTAGAGAGAAGGTAGAGAGGAGACATAGGAATGTTAGATAGGAAGGAAGCTATAGAGAGAAGGTAGAGAGAAGACATAGGATGTCTTAGATAGGGAAGGAAGCTGTAGAAAGAAGGTAGAGAGGAGACATAGGATGTTAGATAGGGAGGAATCTGTAGAGAGAAGTAGAGAGGAGACATAGGATGTTAGATAGGGAAGGAAGCTGTAGAGAGAAGGTAGAGAGGAGACATAGGATGTTAGATAGGAAGGAAGCTATAGTGAGAAGGTAGAGAGGAGACATAGGATGTTAGATAGGGAGGGAGGCTGTAGAGAGAAGGTAGAGAGGAAGCATAGGATGGTAGATTGGAGAGGAACTATGGTGAGTGGGTGCAAGTCGTCTTTAATTGAGGAAAGCTTAAGGATAGAACATAATAGAGGAATCCACATAGCCTGGAGCGTTGAGGACAGTAGAGAGACGAGCGTTATAAAGAATCTCTAGTGAAGGACGAAGTATGGGAGAAGCTGTAGAGATGAAGGTAAAGAGGAAGCGTGGAAGGAAGCCGGCGCGAGGAGACATCACGGCCTTCAGTCCGTCCGTTCCTCTACTTCTCTCTCTCTCTCTCTCTCTCTCTCTCTCTCTCTCTCTCTCTCTCTCTCTCTTTCTCTCTCTCTCTCTCTCTCTATATATATATATATATGTATGATGCGTGGTTCGTATGTGTATGTCTTGATTTCTGGGATATCCAATAAGCAGGATTAATACCGCCTCACGCTGTCTCCTGCGAATGCTGGAGTGCGTGTGTGTTGTATCAGCGTCTGCGGATCTGCTGGAGTATCTGCGTGTGTGTATCCGACTATCCGTACGAGAGAAAAAGATCAGTGTGTGCGTATATGGTATGTGTGTGTCTATGTGCGTGTGTGCGAGCGCGCGCCGCGCGTGGTTGTGCGTGGTGTGTGTGTGTGTATGTTGGTGTGTGTGTGTGTGTGTGTGTATGTTTTGTGTGTGGTGTGTGCTGCGTGCGTGCGTGCGTGTGTGTGTTGCGTGCGTGCGTGCGTGTGTGTTGTGCGTGCGTGGCGTGCGTGTGTGTGGAGCGCGCGCGCGTGTGTTGTGCGTGCGTGCGTGCGTCGCGTTGCGCGTGGTGTGTGTGTTGTGTGCGTGAGTGCGGTGTGTGTGTTGCGTGTGTGTGTGTATGTGTGCGTGTATGTGCATCAGAGCGTGTATTAGCACATAGCGAGCGTGTATAATTCACACGGCAGCGACAGATGTGCAGCATGGAGACACACCGCCTGCAGGCACGCAGACGTACTGAGTTAGCTATAGCTTATATAGAGAGAGCATCAACGATATATGAGCCTATTGACAACAGCTATCAGTGCTTGTTTCTATCGAATACACTAATTATTACACGGTTAATGACTGTATGTTATAGAACCGTACTGTACTGTACATCACCTACTGTACCGCATGTACAAGAGACGCGATTGCATATAACAGTGCAGCTGTCCATATGCATATATTTATTTATTTATTTATTTGTTTGTTTGTTTGTTTGTTTGTTTACTCGTTTATTTATTTAGTTATTTATTTTATTTATTGCTTGATTTATTAATCTACTTATTTATTTATATTAATTGAAATGCATTTATTCATTTGTTTGTTTATTTACTCCATTATCAAACTGTTTTCGTTCTTTGATATTGTCTTATTAGGAAGTCGAAATCATTGTAGTATTTGACATCATGTCACCCTGGAACTAGCGTAAACAATGAAAAGGTCTTTTCGGTGGCTCGTAAATTTACCGTAGGGTTTTTCAATATCACGCGACTACGCCCGAGATTTCTGCGGTCGATGCAAAAACGCCGGATAGTTGACTGCTCTGAGTGCCCGGATGTGTGAATGCCCGGATGTTGACCGAGCGTGTAAAAACCTGTGTGTGTTGTGTGTGTTTTACAGTTTTCTACATCAACAGGTTCGTCTATAATTGTGACTATATTTATAACGTAAACACGCAGAGAAGCGGTGTGAAGTTAATGTGATTAGTTTTGCTATTGGCAAAAACATTCATCACTTATATAACTACGTTGATGGTTATTGATGGCTATAGTGTTTTATATAGAAGCAGATAGAGAGAGAGAGAGAGAGAGAGAGAGAGAGAGAGGTGCGTTGCGCTCGCGTGCGTGCGTGCGTGCGTGTGTGTGTGGTTATTTGCGTACTTATCTATTAGGCGCGTATTCTATTTATGTACACTAGATTAGTTTGCAAACGTAAGCGTGTGATAATCTTATGAGTCAACTTATCAAATTCAAATCCAAGGGCAATGCAATGAAATCACTAACTAAACCATTGCGCGCGTGCTGCCTATGTAAACATATTTGTATGTAGGCAATGTATAGTATACAATACATTATTATGTATATTATTATTATTATGCGTGTGCGTAGGTAGTTCTATTACTAGACTATATGCTATGGTTTATTGTAATATAATAAATATTTACCAAGACCGCTTCCCTCACACAACACACTCCAGCACCCTCCCCCCCCCACATCACGCGCGCGCGCTGCGCACACACACACACCCAACAGACACGCAGCACGCACGACGCCGCACACC